TCCTTCCTTCCTTCCTTCCTTCCTTCCTTCCTTCCTTCCTTCTCTCTCTCTCTCTCTTTCTTCTTTCCACTTTTTTCATTTACTTATTACTTTCCTTTCCTTTTTCTTTCAAAATCTGTATTTTGTGTGTGTGTGTGTGTGTGTGTGTATGAGAGAAAATACCAAGTGGGTGTCTTTTGCATAATTAAAAAAGAAGATAATAATTTCCCTAAAATGATGGTTTTAAAAGATTGGCAAAAGAGTGGTGACATTGCTGTACCAAAATGTCTTGAGTGTAGTTTTCTAAAATGGTGAGAAAAGCTGGGGAACAAAACAAATTTAGTTAATTAGTTAGTGCCTTTGCTTTAGTCTTGATTCCTGGGGAGTTCATGGACAAATCCATGTAGTTTTCTTGACATCATTTTCAGAAGTATTTTCTTATACCCTTCCTAGTGCTGAGAAAATGAGTGACTGGCTGAAAGTCACTGGAATACAATTTAATTTCAGCTTCTTTAATGTCCCCAGGTTAAAGCTTGCCTGCCCACTCTTTTTCCTATTCTGGTAGAGAAACCCTTGTGGCAGAGCAGCCTAACCCAGCCCTCCTCAACCTCTCCTTCTTCTGTCCTTCAGACAGCTCCAGTTTCCCCACCTGTTTTCTCTCCAGCCTCAAGGCTCCTTCCACAAGCTTCACTTTCCAGCTGTACCTGCCTGGACAGTATGGCACTGCTGTAAACCGAGACAGTGGGCAAGGGTTACTGGAGGGTGGCACAGTTTGACAAAAGAAGCCTTGTGATGCCACCTACATGGCCAGGCCAACCACACCCAGTTGCTGCTGAAGACTCACAGGACTAGGTCAAGGTGAACTCTGAGCTTGCTGTCTCTAGACCATTTGTCTTCCTGAACCCCTTCCCATGGCCTACCCTTATTTACTTATTTATTTATTTATTTATTTATTTATTTATTTATTTATTTACCTACCTATCTACCTACCTACCTATCTACCTACCTACCTACCTACCAAATTTGTCACTGCCCATCTCATTGAAACAACTCTGAGCGGTTTACAACAAAGATAAAATTCATTAAAATACAATATAAAACAATCCTAATAATAACTGACTTCCAAGAATGATGGAGAGTTGATGAATAACTCTGGGAGCGTTGTCAGGGTGCTAACCACCCCCAGAAGTGGTTAGAGCTTGTGTTGCCCCACATACGCAGGCAGAGCCAGGTCTTTAATCCTTTCTGGAAAGCCAGGAGGGTAGGGGCCTGCTGCACCTCTGGGGGGAGAATATTGCAAAGGGCAGGGGCAACAGCAGAGAAGGCTCTCTTCCTGGGCCCCACCAGCCGACATTCTCTCACTGACGGGATCTGCAACATGCCCCTTCTGCCTGACGGGGTGGGATGGTTTGATGTAATGGGAATGAGATGGTTCCTCAGGTAACCTGGACCCATGCCTTGTAGGGCTTTAAAGGTGATAACCCACACCTTGAATTGGACCTGGAAGCAAACTGACACCCAATGCAGCTCCCGCAGCAAAGGTGTTACATGTGCCATCCTAGGGGCACCTAATATTTACATGGTACATATTGGCCTCGATGGCAGCATCTTCAATGCTTACAAAGTATTGTTGGGATCACAGAAAATAACTTGGAGGACTGCATGAAATCCATGGGCTGTGAGTTAGGGATACCTGCAGGAAGGCATGGATGCTAACATCCACACAGGTCTTTAAAATCAACAGGACAAGAATGAAAACTAAGTGTGAATCCACTAAATTATCATTACTGATTAAAATGTCACAGAATTCAAATTTTTTAAAAAATGTCAAAAATACAGTTATTTTAAATTGTCAGTCCAGCCCAGGAAGACAAAGATCTACTAGGAAAAGCTACGTTGGCACAAAAAACACAACGTTGGATTTGCATGGCTTCAACCTCTGCGGATACATTCAAATACTATTCTTTTCCTTTATTAAGTTCTCAAGATACCCAAAAAGTCAAGATAAGGAGCATGAAAACAGTGGTGTGCCTAGCATATTTGACACCCAGGACAGATAATATGTTTAACATCTCCACTCCTTCACTGCTAGTTCGATATAGTAGTGAAGGTGTCAGACTAGAAACCAGGAGACTGTGAGTTCTAGTCCAGCTTTAGCCACAGAGCCAGCTGTGTGACCTTGGGCCAGTCACTCTCTTTCAGCCCTAGGAAAAGCAAGCCACTTTTGAAAAATGCTGCCAAAAAAACCGTGGGCAGCCATCACCAGGAGTCAAAACTGACTTGAAGGCACAATTTTTCCCCCCTCTGTCCCTGCTAAGCTGCTACCAACGAGCAAAGGGCTGACTGGTGTGTAGGAAGCAGAGACCTAACTCCACACTGGCCACTAGCCTCTACATGTCTTTGGCACCATTCCCTGATTGCCTGAGCCCAGGGCAACCCCCTTCCCCCTTGGTATGCCATGGCAACAAAGCTTGAACCATTGGTAGGAAGGGACCAGAAGGGGCAGGAACAATTTCAATGGAGTCATGATCCCCGAACAATCTCCCTTCCCCAGAGATTCTGAGGGGAAACAAGAGGAAACCGAAGCAACATATTCCCAATGAAAATATGCATAATCTAATTTATTCCCTTGCAGATTTAAATATTCCCATAACCTGTAATTAATTCCAAGGCATTTTCAGATACTATATGCCATCACTCTACCAAGAGATTTTAGATGCTTTCAGCATTCATGAACGAATAGCTTGTGGAGTTCCTGCCAAGAGAATCTTATAAAACATTAACAAATATACATGATGGAAGAGCTCATATAGGTTCTTTTACAAGAGTCCCTCCAACAAAAAACCCAAAATGCTCAGTAATCAGGCAGAAGTAGAAAGCAAACCAAGCTGTTTGACACCTTAACAGAACCTGGTGGCATGAGTGGTAGAATGAAGGTAAGTGAAAACGTTGCCACTTGAAAAAAAAGTGAAATTTATTAAGATAATGACTTTGTTCTTGATGACTATATTAACAATTTGATGACGTTTTCTTGACCACAGTGATTTGCTTTGCCATCTTCTGGGATGGGCTTTTAACTTTCCAGTCTAACCTGCCAGAGATTATACAGTAATACATGGTTTGTACTATGCACGAGCTTTTAGTTATCCCTGTTGAAATCTTTGGTAGTTTCAGAGCAGGAGGAATCCTATCTATGCAGTTATTCTGCCCAGTTGTTCACGAGGTTGTTCATGTTACATGATATGCCAAATTCTGTCCACAGTCTTACACATTGTTTTAAAGAAAAAGAAACAAATCTGATACCTGTGTAAACATATCTTTTAGGTTATCTAAGAGGCACTCTTCTCCCAAAAATTTCTACCTGCCCAATTTGGTCTAGCAGGTTGGGCAAGTTGCGGGTCCCATCAGCCAAGGAATGTTGGCTGGTGGGGACCAGGAGACGTGTCTTCTGTGCCGTAGCCCCTGCCCTGTAGAACATTCTCCCTTCAGAGATTAGGATGACCCTGACCCTATTGGCCTTTCATAAGGCCCTCAAGACCTGGTTATGTGCCTGGGCCTGGGGCCCTGAATGTGTTAAGGGCCCTGTTTCTTGGCTATACTAATAATTATGGGCTAATTTTTCTTGGCTGCCATATATATTTATTTTGGGCTATATTATATTTGTTTTAATTCTTTTTATGATTATGCGCCATCAAGAGTCACTTGGTTGAGAAGAGGGGCTATAGAAATTAAAATAAACAAACAAATATTGACAGATGCCGTTGTGGGATGCGCTGCTGGATCTGCTAATCTGCCATTGCTAGGCACTTATTCACTTAACATGTTCGTAAGGGTGGTCACCATGAGAGAACGGACAAGCAGTGGAGAACTCCTTGCTGGAGATGGTCTTCCATGTTTTCACCTGCTCCTTTGTACTGTGACGCAAACCATAAGTGAGGGTTGCTCCATTTTAGATTGTACAATAGGGTGATTTTACTGATGTTGGTTTTTTGTACCATTGGGTGTTTTATTGTCTCTCATGGGTGTACTGTATTTTTAAATAGATCACTGAGAAGCTCATGACTGTGGCAGTATAAAAATTAAGCAAGCCAATAAATAAGTAGAGCAGTCCTTGTGCGCTGCTCTTCCCAGACAAGATAAGACATTGGTACCTTCAACCCTATGAAAAAGACACAAGATAACTGAACTCTTTTATTACATTTTTATCCTATCTGTTGCTACTGGCTTGATGGGTTGATTTTGAGTAGAGTTGGAGACAAATGCCCTTCCAGAATTCTCCACCTAAACTGTAAGCAGAGTAATTGGGTGAATCACATCTTTGAATTACTCCAGAGAAACAAGGAATTCTTCAACCATTACTCAAGGCCAGGGTTTCCCCTTTTCTGATGACCATTGCATTACTAGAGGAAAAGCCCCAGGGAATGATTTAATCTTGGGATGAAATAGAGCCTGGGTTTAGCGGACAGAATAAGGAATACTGAAATGCAGGAAAT